ATTTACGTCATCAAGTTAACCAAGAGTATTGCCACAAAATAATGGCTTCACTTGCTAATTACCCCTTTTTTTGTGCTTCTTTAAAAGTTATAATTTTTTAGCCATAAGTAAACTACTCTGTAGAGCAGTTGGGCTCCAGAGAAATGTTCATGCGTGCACTTCCCTAATATAGGTAGTTTCTTAAGATGTGCCACCACGTAGTAAGTTCTAGAATTCTCCAGAACCGATTCTAAATGAGCCGAAGAAAAGTGCATGAAATGGCTGGCCTTGGACAACTTAAAGGCCTTTCACCTTGCTCCTAAACATTCCATCGATGAATTCATCTTTTGCTTTGCGTATATGCCATTCCTCATGGCCATGGTCCTCGATCATAAACTCTCTTCCCCTATTGAGGCAGTCAGGTAGATGGGTACTCGTGGACCAAGATGTGTGCTTTTACTTATCTATATACCATTCCATGAGAATATCAGTTTGAAAGAAAGGGGAATCCAACGGGCAAGTGTAAAGGCTACACTGCTTGAGAACTTTTAAAGGTACTGAAAAATGGAAGGCCCATATGCCTATCTGGGCTCCGAAAATTTCATTTTTGTGTGTGATCCCGGCCTCTCCGCGCCATCAATCTATTCTTCTTTTATTTTGAAGTGTGACGACGACGATAGAGAGTTTTAACGAGATTATGTTCCGGGTGAATTTTCTGAAGGCAGATTGGGTTTTAGATAAGATACTACCCAGAGATTTCACCCTCATTTTGTGACTTTTTGATATGAGTTCTGGTTTCCTATAGGCGCAAACCCATATAGTTAATTAACCCTCCCGATAATGAGAGAGAACTTTCGATTAAGGCTAGTCGATAAAGAGATCCAATAGGTTATAAACACATCGTATAATAGCAATAATTTAGCGTTTGAGTCTTGGATTTAAATTTTGAAGTTTGGAATTTAGAGTTATCACCATAAACTTAAAACTGGTGGTGGGGGAAATGAAGAAGAGCCCGATCAAGATCACATGGTTCCGTCGTCCCGGGCTATCATGTTCCTTGGTCTACTTAGTCAGAGGAGATAGTCAACCCAACCTGACAAAAGCACCTTGTCGGCAGCCATGGGTTTCTTCGTCTAAGAATACCTTATAGACCTGAGTTGATGTTTGTCTAAGGGGATATATCTGAATCCACCTTAGCTGATAGAGGGCTTTATGCCTATCGAATATACCTTATGATTCATAACTCAAGGGTTTGACGTCGTTAGGGAACATACGGGTTTTAGCCGTGATCGTAATATAATGGTGTCATTTTGCGGCAAAACCACCCGATCAGAGGGCATGTGCCACGTCCCTATTGGTAAGGGAGTGTTTGAGGATGAATCAAAGTAATACACCCAATATGCATTCGCTCTTTGTGAAGTGAGATTAATTTCAAATTTATCACCACCGACAAATGGTTGCGGGAGGTGAATGATTTTTAGATTTAAGTTTTCAGTTGATAGATTTTATTTCAAGAATTTGAGATTTTTTTTTAAATTATAGATTTGACCCCTTCGGCCCTCCGGTTGAGATTTTCTGTCAACATGGCCATCATCGGGGTGACATTAAAGTCATTTGTATTTTTGTAGGATTTTGGGAGGCATTTTGTAATTCAAGTTGTCGACTCCAGTCCTTTCAAGAGGGATGATGAAATTTGAATATTTGGCCTGCGCAGTATTCTCGAATCGGTGGATTTGGGACTTAGATGTAACGATCGGAGCACATACGGGTTATATCATTTGCCCTGCGCAGCATTCTCGAATATTTGTGTTAGTAACTTTAATAGGTTTGTCGAAGCACATGCAGGGTGTTTATTTAGTTCAAGAGATCATATTTAATACATAAGGGGTATTTTAAAATATTTAAATATTATTCATTGCGCAAGTGATTTCGTTTAGAAAATGGCCCGAGATTTCATTTATGGGCCTACGAACGCCTTCTGTCCGCTTGTATACATGTTGAGGATCCGGTGACATTACTCTAAATTAGGTTTGAGTAGGGGTGTCAATTTTTGACACGACCCGAAACACGACCCGAACCCGACCCGAAAAAATCCAGGTTCGGGTCAACCCGAACCCGAAACGGGTCGGGTTCCGGTTGAACAAATCAACCCGTTTTAAAAATCGGGTCAGGTTCGGGTTGACCTAGCAACCCGAAATTGACCCGAAAGTGACACGAAAACTCATATTTGACCCGAAAACCCGAGATTGACCCATTTTTGACCCGATTTTGATCCGAAAATCGAATATTTACTCGATTTTGACCCGAAAATTAGCAATTTTAGATCAAATTCGGGTCATTCGTGTCGGGTCGGGTTAACCCGGACCCGAATCGGGTCGGGTTCGGGTCTGGAAACCTGACCCGTTTTTAAAAAAGGGTCGGGTTCGGGTTGACCCGAACAGTGCCGGGTCAGTTCCGGGTTCGACCCGAACCCGACCTGCTGACCCGAATTGACACCCGTAGGTTTGAGTTGTAATACGTAGAAGATGTGTTGATTAATTTATTCAAGCTTATCGTCTATTCTACTATAGCTTGTAAGGGATGTTATCCAATAGACATTAGAAGATCGTGTTCTTGCTTGTAAATGAACTGCATTGGTTGCTACGAATCTTCTATTATCTCCTATAGATCAATTAAGTAGGCTATAAATTCATTGCTTCTCCTTATGCATTAGTGATATGCCTTTTTTTAGCAAAATGAAAGATAATTATCGCTAAAGAGCACTAGAAAGAAGTATCACTATTGAATTCAATTGAATCCCTTGTATATCATTAACTTAATCATTGATTGATATTGCCTCATCATGCGATAAACTAACACAATTATCGTCAAATCTTGTTCCAAAACAACTTGATCAATTTTATTATCATTAGAAATCTTAGAAAGGCGCCCGATATTTTCATCATTAAAGCTAAGCTCATCCCCCCTTTTCAGGACTTTATCATGATAGTCATTTGTTATTGTTCACAGACATAGACATTATCATTGCAATCTCCTTATACATGTATGTAGGCAAGCTATTACCTCTATTGCATGTTCATGTTATTCAAATCACAAGTTCCTTTGATCATGAGTAAGTTATCATTACAATTTTTCTATTAGTATCCATTTGCATTTGATTTAGACCTTGTAATTTTGCAATTTATAATTTCAATTTAAACATTATATCATACTCATTGTATAACGTTCCAATTCAAGTCTAATTCAGGTCTTTTATATTCATTAATTTGAGTTCAAATATGAGTCCAATTCGAGTTTAAGTCCAATATTATTTGATCAAATTTGAATTTAAAATTGATTTTATGATTTGAGTTATGATCAAATCAATTTTAATTTTCTGTCCAAGTCCCCTGTTGTTCAATGAAAATTTTGGCAGCCTCCCAGTGTCCCCTCCCCGACGCCGGTAAGGAGGGCATTTGCCCTTTCAAGTCAGTCTGGCCGGAGCAAATCGACGACCAGGGTCTTCGATTCGTTGTTGGGCATCGGATTTCGTGTTCTGAAGCTCCAATTGATGATCGTCGGTTGCCAATATTTGTTGTCGATTGCTGATTGTGATGCATTTGATTGAAATTTCCTTTTTTTTTCATTTAATTTATCAATTAATTAATATTGCAATTATTTTCAAATTGAATGGTCATTTGAGCATTTTTCAATTTTCTCAAAAAAATTTCTAAGTCCCGAATTTTTTGAGAAAATTCGGCAGCCTTCCGGCGTCCCCTCCCCGAGGGCATTTGCCCTTTCAAGTTCGCCCGGCCAGAGCAAATCGACGGCCTGGGTCTTCGAGATGTTGTCGGGTCCCGCAATTGATCTTTGGAAGCTCCAATTGATGATGATTGGTTGCAAATAATTGAATATAATATATATATATATATATATATATTATACATAACAATAGAGAGGGGTAAAGGTGGATCGGGAAGAGCCCGATCGGGCTAGGGCGCAGGCGGAGACCAAGGAGCGGGCGTCGATCGGAGACGGGCCGGTCGGAGTTTGGTCAGGTCGGAGGCAGGTGTAGGGCCGGCGACGGAGGTAGAAGGATTCTGGTGTGGATTCGACAGCTAGTTGGGACGTAGGCGAGAGAGGCGACTGGCGGCTTCAAGCGTCAAGCATCGATGAAGGAGTTTGGTCGACGACGGCTCAGGAGGCTGTCAGGTCGGCGGCGAGGAATGAGTTCGATGGCCGGAGGCAGAGGCAGGCGATGTTGCAGGCGTCGATCGAAGGTTGGAGTCAGCGGATGCGTGCGAAAGGGAGAGAGGTAAGTCACAAACCCCTTTTTTTTTTCTTCAGCTCTGAGAGCGTGAATCAGCCGAATGAGAGGAGCATTGTTTTTGTGTTGTGAGTGGAACGGTTGTGCAATCGTGGAGGGAGTCATGGGTGGTTGTTCGGTTGGGTCCGAATGGAGGTTTTAGGTCAACAGCCTTACTCATCAGCCTAATCTTTCACTAAGCTGGTTAGCCCTCAGATTGATTAGTTGACCCACCTGCCAGCCAATAGGGCTGCAGGACAGATGAGATAGTTTACCAGGCATGCCAAAAGCTTGTGATGTTTCTTGTATGAAAGGTTAAATTTCTATTTTCACTGTTACTTGGATGATATTGCCCAACTGCTTGTGTCAGTTATGAGGTCAGTCATCATGCATCTAGTCATACACGTTTTGATGCATCATTTCTTCGCTCAAGCTATACATTTTAATCATGCCCCATGATTAGTAATGAGGGTAAATGAGAGTCTAAAATTTGTTTCCTACTTTCTTGTTCTGCATTTTCTCCTTTTTTTCCTTATATGTACAAATGTTCTGTCAACGCTACATGAAATGGTTTTTGTAAATAATTGTTTCTTCTCTAAGTTTGGTCTGGAGAATACTCTTTCATGAACTGATAAGATCTGTCAATTATACTCGACTATAATCAAGATTTTCAATTTCTTGTAAGAACTTTGCCTTTATGTGGTGGATTTAAGTATTAGTATTGTGTTTTTTTCAGTGTATAAGAAGCATTATCCGCCATTACTGTTTGATGAAGTCTGGCGGCTTGAGAAGATTGGTAAAGATGGTGCTTTTCACAAGCGTTTGAGCAGTGAGAACATCAACACTGTCAAGGATTTTCTAACTTTGCTAGTCACAGACGCTCCAAGGCTCCGACATGTATGGCTCAGTTTATTTCTAGTCATTTTAGCGCTTAATATTATCTAATTCTTATTTATGCTTTGTAGAGTCTTCTTTTATACAAAGTACCAAGGCTTATTACTCGTAGCAGCAGCATCTTTTTTTTTTTTTTAAATATATATATTTTAATTTATGTATGCACTGGCCGTTACCTTTCTGCCAACATGCAGATACTAGGCAATGGCATGTCAGCCAAGATGTGGGAAATTACGGTGGATCATGCTCGGACTTGTCCCCTCACCACCCAAATGCATTTACATTATGCTGATGATGTGCAGAAAACTGGGATTGTGTTCAATGTCATTGGGGAAGTGATGGGCATCCTAACTGACCAGCAATTCGTCTCAGTTAATGACTTATCAGATGTCCAGAAGGTTGGTTTCTACCGCAATTTTTGTGATTTGTTCACTTCTTCCCCTGATATTCATGATTATTTTTTACAATCATTATTAGCCTGAATTTGGATCATTTTTCTTTTTCTTTTTATGCGTGTTTCACCCAACCCTTGCGCGCAAGGGCCATGCTAATAATCTTCTGTGAATCATTCCCCAATTTTATCGTCCATTGATACTCATGATTGTTTTTATCAGGCAGATGCAAATATGCTGGCCAAACAAGTCATTCAGAATGGAGATGATGTTCTTCTTCCCTTTGACATGGGCGGTGTTATGGGTGTTTCTTCTCAAGCATTACAGAGTTCTTTTCCTACCTCTTCACAGTCATTAGGATTGCCTGATGACATTTACAGCAATTATTCAAGTCCTATAAAGGCTGATGGAGGCTTTAACTACAGCTATTCAGCTATCTCGTCGCCTGATATATTCACAAGGGGCTTGGAATACAGATACGAACCAGAGTCGCATGGTATTCTTCACGGCTGCAGCATTCCTTACAAAGTGCCCGCTGAACTCGAAAAAACTTCCAGCCTCCCTCATGTATTGTTGGAGGAGTGCAGGAGCCATGAATTTTTTAGCGAAAATTTGCACTACTTTGATACCGATATGTCTTACCTATCGGGTATAGAATCCCAAGCTGATTTGGGTACAGCAGTAGTCAGCTTCTTCACAGGAACTAACTGGAGTCCTTATGCTGTGTGGGGGATATTACTATTAGTGGTGAAATGGAAATTTTCCATAAAGAAGAAAGTGGCTACAAAGAAGAGAACCTACCAGAATGAGACATTTGGATAAGGAATTTATTTCATGGAAGAAAAATATACATTTAAGGATTAGACTTTTTCCAACCTGCCTATTGTTCTTGATGTAAATATAGCTTTCCACAAGGCTACTGCTGAAATGAAGATGAAGATTCTCCATAAGAAGAAAGTCGCTGCAAATAAGACAATAAAAGAGAGTTTTGGATGAAGGATTTGATCGAAGAAATTATATAGACATCATATCATATCATAGTTAATAAAAGAGTCAAGTTGTGTATCTTTCTTGAGTTAGTAGACACTTTCTGAGCCTGCCTGCTGTTGTTGGTGTAAATATATAGCTTTCGAGAAGGCAAGCGCTTCCCAATTTTGCAGAAGGTTTAAAATCGAAGTTAAAAGGTTTTTATGAATTGTGCATAATGCGTGTATATAGTAAGAAATAGCTCATATAGTCTGAAATAATGCTTTTTAGAAGAGTTATGATTGGGTTATTAATCTCTGTAATGGACTGGCTGCAATATAAAGTGGTAATTTGCCTTCTCTCTCTCTTTCAACCATGTGATTATTACGTGAAGCTTCATGGGAGCATAGCATACTAGTACGTTAAAAAGGTTTATTTGTAATTTCTGTCTACTTATTGCTAAAGTGCATTCCTAAATTCTATTGGAAGAGGAATTTTATTTTGGACATTTAGGCTAATTAAAATAAATTCACATGCACAACACATTCAAAATTCAAATTTAAAATTTCTTGATTAATAGTTAAGCTTTTAATTAAGATATCATAGGAGAATGGGATAATAATATGGTAGAAAATATAAGAATATTTTTTTTTCTTCTAAAAGGCAGAATGAGTCGGGCAACTTTTTAGTCTTTTAGAATATGTAGAAACTTTTTGTAGTCTAGATTGATCTTTTAAATGTGCATCATGTATCATGGGAGCAGGGGCAGAACCCCCTTAGGGGGAAGGGGTTGGGTGCAATTCCCACCCCCCTAAAAAATTAAAAAAAAAATTTATTATATAGTTTTTTAAGTAATTTATTCTTCTCAATCTATTTTTTAGTCTTTATTATAAAGATTTTTAGGTCATTACCCCCCCTAAAATTTTTAAACTACTATGATCTTTAGGCAATTGCTCCCAGTAAATAGTAAAGAAAATTTATCATTTTATTTATTAATTTGAATTCAAAAAATGTCCTTATCCCCGGAAACTTCCGCAGGGGCGCTGTCTCTTGACCCCGCGACCTAACCCCAGAAATAGCATATTATAATATGTTGCAGTTGAGTGCTTAAGTATGATGGCGCAGTTCTTACATTTCACCAAAGAAGTATAGCGCTTATAATTTTAATTGCTTTGGTAAAATTCTTTAAGAGTCAAAATTTTATTTAATTTTTTTAATATTTTTAATCAAGTATTTTTAAGTTTATTTTTATATTTCTTAATATATGTTAAATTAAATACATCAGCTCTCATAATTGAGTCATCGAAAGGTCAACATGCTCGATGCATTCTTCCACTTCAACTATCTAATTTGAATTTTACTATTAATATCCACATATATTTTACCATCACCTTGAACAATAAATTTGAGATATCTAAATCATCTACTCTTTTTAATGAATTGATAACCCAAAGTCACAATCCCCTTACTAGATCTATTACCAAAATTACACACCATATATTCGGTTATAGATCTACTCAAACGAAAACCTTTAAACTTTAAGGTTGTCCTCCATAATTTAAATATTCCTTCAACTCTTTCTGGTCTTATCAACAAGAATATTATCATCAGCCAAATGCACACACTAGGTACATCCTTAATGACTTAAATATCTAGTAAGAACATCCAAGACTAAAACAAAAAAGATTGGGCTTAAATTTGATCATTGATGTAATCCAACTAAAATAGAAAAATTCTTGGTCAAACCACGTTATGTTTGAACACAAATAACAATTCTTGCATACATATCATTAATGACTTAAATATAAGCATTATTAACTCCTTTCTTTTCTAGAACTCTCTAGAGCACTTCTCTTACAACTTTATTACATGCTTTCTCTATATTAATACATATCATATATAGATCCTCCTTTATCTCTCTATGCTTTTCAATCAAACCTCTCAATAAATATATAGCTTTCATAGTAGACCTACATGGCATGAATCCAAATTTATTTTGAGAAACATTAATATCACATGGTAACATATGCTCAGTAAATCTCTCCCGTAATTTTAATGTATGACACATTAACTTAATTCTTCTATAATTCACACACTCTTATACATCACCTTTATTCTTAAAAATATAAACCAGCACACCCCCCCATTCATCTGACATCTTTTTAGTCTTGAAAATAATATTAAACAACTTTAGTAAGCTAAGAAATTTCTTCATCTCCCAAGCAATTTCACACATCTATAGAAAATCAACTATGTTTGCAATTGCAAAAATTTTTTGTTAAGTAGTTATAATATAAAGTATTTGTTTATAGGGGGAAAATTGGCATTATAATTAATATCATCTCTTAACTTTGAATCATGATTTCATGTAGAAAATTAACCATTAAAATTGGCATCATATCATATTCAATATATCAAAATTTCCCTATTATTATAAAGAGATGTCATAAGAATTATAGAAAGGACCATAGAGAAACTTGGACAACTTTGACTTTTGTGGATTGAAAAGTTAAGGAAAGAAAATTCTTAGAGAGAGACTTTGTAAGGAGTTATAATGTTAGAGAAAGAAAGAGGATTCGAGAAAGTAACATGCTCTTCCTTATATTTTGCCCTATTCTTAATGTGAATTAAACTTTGATCATTTCTTCTCCAAACCAATAATCCAAATTAACAACCTTACTATGAGCTTATATACTTAACATGTTATAAATATTCTATTATTGTGATCACATTTGCTCTTATTGATTGACTAGATGTTAGAGATTATTCAAGAATATATAAAATAATGCTCTTTTAATGGATAACAAGAAAAACATGTGGAGCATGAGACATCATATTCTATTACATTATATAATGAATCATTCTAAAATACAAGGACATCATAGATAGGCTGCAACCCCTCCTCCCCTTGATAAGGGGATAAATGTCAATAATGAATGAACTTTTGGGCCATCTTTAAATAATTATGTTCGATGAATGAAAGAATCATAAAGTGAGGTCCTCCATCTTTTATATGGATCACAGCAACTAGAGTTATTACAACACCATGGGATATTATCACCATTCTAACCCATTGTGCCCCAATTATCGTTATAACAATATTATTAATATAGCAAAATGTCATAATCAAGCTAAGACTCACCCTTCCACTGACTAATAATTACTTCTTAATGATACTAGCTTGACTTATCTGTCTCCTACATGATTTTTACTCCCTAAGTAAATGAAGAAAATCTACATACATTTATAATTAATGTTGTTTTATATGGCCTCTGTTATAAAGAACTATGAAATCTCATCTAAGATAATTTTTTTTCTTTAGGAGAGAGAGTTCAGCCTCCCCCTTATCAAGATGATAAGAAGCATCATCATTCTTTATCACTACCTTAATCATTCCATAGATTTATATTTTAACCATTACATCAGAGCTACTAATTCCTATGAGCACGTTAGCCAATATAAGATCATTATGCACATTGTATCCATAAAAAATGTTAACACTTGATATTTATGTTTGACTAATTCAAGTTGCTCTTCTAGTTGTGATTAGGTTAGCTATTCCTATTCTCAATCATTTTAACTTGACTAGGTCAATACTCTTGCTTGACTCTTTAGCCTATTTCTAGAGGTATTTCAAGCCTTCCTCTTTATCAATTCAATATCAACTCTTTCCATAGGTTCAAACCCTAGCTTAACCTAGTTAGAAACCCTTAGGACTTGACCTTAGGATGACTATATAATCCTATTAAATTTAAAAATACTATAGGAGGATACCTTCATTATTCAATTTGAAATCATATCAAATCACTTTAACTGGTTTGACCTAAACCAATCTTATGATAAACCTCTTTCAATGCTTAACCCTAATTGGTCTCATTGGAGAAATTTATAAGCACTCAACCTTTCCTTCATTGGTTCAATAATGTGCTTTTGCATTATAATTGAATGAAAAATTTCTTGAGCTTGACCTATGGACCCAAGTTTGACCAAAGGTCAAATAAAACTCAATATCCATTAACCCTGGATAAATTTGGTGATTTTTAATTAAATAACCTAGTAAGTTGGAAAAGCCTATTCCATAGAGCTTATATTACTAAATTGAAAAATACTTGATAATAGTTGACCGTTATATTAGATTAAATTCCTTTAAACTATAACATTGATCCAATATGATCAAATTAGATCCATTGAACTCAAACATTAGATTTGGAAACATTATCATCAACCAAACCTTTGAAGTTCCCAATAGGCTATTAATAAACTAAATATAATCAAACATCTCTTTATAGTAGCTTGATTGGACCCTTTAACCCAATTAAGCCCAAATGGACTTACTTATTTAGCCCTACTGGAAATCAAAATACCAACTAAATTGGGAAAATTAATTACTTCCAATGTCTTAGAAAAATTTTAGTAGGTTCCTTTTATAAAGTCCAATTGGTTCACTTGGCCATGATTTAAATATTTTGATACTCTAAGGCTAATATGATCAATATGACCATTTTAATCAAATGAGCCAAGCCAATATTTGAGGTCCCTTACAATTGATTGACTACAATTGACTTAAGCTTAATTAACTCTTAACTAAGCCTAAATTAGTTTATTTGCTCATTTGGCCCAATTTGATCTAAAGGAATGTATTAGGTTAATTTGATTATACAGGTTGTGACTAACTATTCTAATTTGCTTGAGTGAACTCTCCATTTATAAAATTGACTCAATTACTCCTTTGTTAGGTAAATTGACTCAAGTTAACCTAACATAGCCTAATTGATTCTATAGGGTTCACTTTAATCATTTTGATCAAATTGATTTCAATTAACCAAATTTATATGACCAATCAACTTGAATAGATTTATTAAACTCCAATTTATCCTAATTAATTCTTGGTTCAAGCACATTTAACTCAATTAGACCATTCCTTCCATGGTAAGCCCAAACTTTTGGGATTAATTGAACTAATTTTATTAGAATGACTTCATCAGTTCAAATTAAGCCCCATTTAGGGTGTCCCCTAAGTGGCTTATATATAAATTTATCATTAGGATGGTTTTTCTTGGTCAAACATTCAATAAAGAAAGTTTAGACCAACCTTGTTTTATTCTCTTTGAATATAAAGACTTAGAACCTACATTGACCTTGTCAATTCACCCTTTGGCTTTCATAGGTTGTACAAAGAATATTCATGATCCTTAAGTCTTGATTAACCTCATGGTTTAGTTAATTAGACCTCTTAAACCTAATTTAACCTAATTAAATCCATAAATATTTAATTGAATCAATATACTTTGACTATTCAAATTGGTGAACCTCTTTGGATCGTAAGCTCCTCAGAGGGATACCAAACCAATTAGCCCATTATTTGGATCAACT